CTTATGCATGCCTGTTGGATACTAATAGACATACAGGTAAAATTTCTCAGTCCTGCCTAAACTTTGGATTTGAATAGAAAGCACAGAAGTTCCTTTACATTGTTGAGACGTGTTGTTTTAATTGGAAAGGCTGCTACTTACTGATGGGTCAATCGACTAGCAAGCTTAAATCTTGTTTTCTTAGTTGTGTAATCTTACAGAGCACTGTTTTTTTTTCTTTTTCTTTTTTTTTTTCTTAATACAAGCAGAATAAATTTTAATGTGGAAATAAATGGTATCTCTTAATTACCAACAAGCTGTGTTTTATGCACACTGCTCAGTGAGTCAGCCTTCGCCTGCTTTGGCAATATATTGTGATGAAAAAATACAAACACTAATTCAGAATCTGGTTTGGTTTTTTGTTTGTTTGTTTGTTTTTTTTCCCTGTTTTGGTCACCATTTATATATTTTTTTTAGTAGCAGGTTTTTTATGCAGAAATGTCATAACTCTCCTAGTTTGGCTTTCTGCGCTGGAGATGCGATTATAGAAACTGTTCTAATGTTTTAAATTGAGCTTTATTTTTTTAAGAAATACTGGTTAAATATGAAACTTGATTTAGTTAAATAACCTAAAGTAACCTAAAGAGGCTTGCTGTTTCCCAGTAAGAACGCTACACAAGTATTGAGACTTTTAATACTGTCAGTAAGTATCACAACCTGACTGAATTATTTTAAGATGAAGCATGGAGTGCAGCTGCACAAATGAAAATTGTACAAGATTGTATCAGTTAGAACAGGATGCTGGGCTGCTATTTTTTAATATTTTTTTTTAAATTTTACTGATTTCTTTGATCTTCATTAAAGTACCTGGTCACTTACCTGTGTGTTTGTATTCTGGATAGGCTACAAAATGTTATTTAAAAATCCTTACAACAGTGAATTGGAAAGGATAACTCGCATCTCGGTACCAAAGGCGTGATGTTTTCCGTGCCACAGAGAAGCCTGGGTGACAGTGTAACAGAGCCGAGGACGGCTGAGCAGAGGATGTGGCGTCCCACAAGAATGCATTTGGTTCACTTCAGTGCCAGGAACTGAACTAGGGTCAATGAGCTGGTTGCAAGTGCTTGCTTGACCACATGTTGCTTCTGGCAGGTGTGTTCAAACTGCTGGAATTTCTTCCTCATTGTGTCATCAGGCATCTCCTTCTCTCCCCAGTTCCCTATTAAACCAGTAGTTTTTCTGCCTTTATCTTTTTAGTTATGGTCCCTAACTGAACAACATTTCCGTGTGTTTAATTAAAGTCTGCTGTTCATGTGTCTTCTTTTTGGGGGCTTCACAGCTCCACCAGGTACTGGAGAACAAAAACTATGCATATCTTGGAGTAGTTGGTATTTCTTGATAGCCCAGGAAAATTTCTCCTCTGCCCAGCCTATGGCTTTTAGTCCCTCTGTGCTATTTTTCTTGTTCTGTCCTTCAAGATGCCCATGTTCAATGTGCTTCAGCGTTCTAAATAGTGGAAACAATGTGAGGTGTTGCTTCTTGCTTTAGTACAGATCTCACCTGATGGTTACGGTCTCTACCATGCACATTCATATCAAAATCAGAGCCATGGATCTCTCTGTAGGTACAGCACACTGATACTTAGGCATTTCCTCATCGGTCTCCAGTTGTACTTTTGTTCCAGTTGCTTAGTTCACTGTCGACCTTTCCTCTTTGTCTTCCTTGATGGAAAATATTTACATACTTTCTGTGCATGACATGACTTCAGAACAGGCTGCAGCCTACTGTGCCATTCTAATGTTTTTCTGAAGCTGACAAAGCACTTTAAGATTTTCCTCTTGACCTTTGCTCATTAATCGAAAATGAGGCTTAACACAGAGTTCACTACATCATCCAAGTGTCTTTGTAGAAATTAGTCTATGCCTCGCTGTCCTTTGACTCTCTGAGGAAGAAAAGGATTTGCTCAGATAGATGGTTGAAGAAGTTGCTCTGTGACTTGTGTAGTTCTGCAGGTAACTTTTTTTTGAGTATCATCATCAAGTCTGATTTCATGAATCTACCGTAAGATAATGTCTCAAGCTCTGATTGTCTCTGCTGGTATGTTATCTTTCAGCTGCTCTGGCAACTTCTAGCTAGATGTCATTCAGCTAAGCATTTGGTTCTGCAAATCACTGATTGTTTTCCTTCAATCCATTAGTTGTGCAAATGTCCTGGCAGTACTCAACCCATTTCATCCTACCCATATCCCTTTTAAGGACCCAAAACCATTCTTGCCCCAAATGGTGCAGACTTTAAGCTGGACTTCTAGCTGATAATGCTTCCAGTTCCAAATGCCTTGTTCCACTTGGATTCCTCCATGCTTGAGGACTGTTTGTTGAACCAGCTTCGCCTATTTGTCTTCTGTCTCTTGGGTTTCCAGATAGAGGGTATTCTCCAGTATTGAGAACTTCTTCAATGGTCGTCCCGTTCTCTTTTACATCTGAGGTGGTTTACTGAACAGGCAACAAGTGAGGATGATAGCAATGTGCACTTGAAAGTTCCACATCCTTAAAGTCCTGGCAGACTCTGTTAGTCCTTATCCAGTCTTTTCAGTGCCTTCAGGTCGAACCCAACTGGCCTTTGCATCTCACCCTTCTCATGAGTTGACTCAAATGGTGCTTGACAGCTGCTGAAGACAAGACAGGACTATGACCTGAAAAGCCATGTCATCTGAGGAACCTACACCACTGAAAGTCTGCATTCAGCCAACATCTTATTTACCAAGACAAAGCCTTACCAACAGCTTCTGAAATTAATTTTTTTGTACCCCCACTGCCTTTATTTTTAATGTGGTTTATGTTTGGACCTCTTTGCTAACTGAAACCCAAGGACAGAATTGCAATGCCTGGCTGGAATTCAGGCAACTCATGGTCCACATAGCTTCAGTGGATATGGATGAAGAATGGTAGGAATTGCTGAATCCGGTAGCTTGACAAGGGAAACTGCTGCATTGCCATGTCTTCAGGTCCAGTAGCAAGTCTGAGCATGTGTTGTTATTAGACACATGCACACACAATACCTGTATCTACAGTCAGCCACACATATCAGCACAGAGAGAAAATACAGCACTGATGCAAACACAAGCAGTGAAAAATATATGCATTTATACAATATGGATCCTTCCAGTAGCTAGATTTAGACATTTAGTCTGTCAAGGAGTTGGCGTGTCGATCCCCATATCTCCCCAACTGATGGCCTCTGGGTCTGCAGCCTCACCCCGGTTGCTGGTACTCAGCCCTTCTCCCCAACAAATGGTCACAGAAACACACGTGTGCTATGGATCCCTACAGTAACTGGCTTTAGAATATCAATGTTATCCAGCAGCTGGCCCCTGGATCCTCTGTTCTTCCAGGTACCTTGTACACAAACAGTCACATACATACACACACACACACAGGTCTCTGGCAGCTGGTCCAAACCTATCGCACTACTGGTAGCTGACACCCGGATCCTCCAGTCTTTATAGCAGGTGGCTTGGAATGCCTGGTCCTTCCAAGCGAACAGAAAAGCATATCTGGTTGACTTATCTGCTGGGTGTCATGCCTGGACCACAGGCTGATCGTTCTCCTTTGATAGCACTGAGAGTAGCCTAGTCAGTGTGCTTGTTGTCTCTGATTAGGTTCTTGGGATTCTTCCATCTTCATAGTTCCTTTGCTTCTTTGTCTTCATGCACTTTCTGAAGCCTTTAATCACATACCCTAATGAGGAAGAACCAAAGTCTGTGACCACGGCAAGAAGATTTTAGGCAACACACCAAAACAACTTCATAAATCTAGTAATGTCAAGATAGTAGCAGTAGCAGAAAGGATGCTTTTGTCAAATTTGTTGTTGGACTGTAACCAAATGAAACCACTTATTATGCTTTAAGACTCCATGGTCTCTGTGAATGCAATAATAAATGTTGGTTTGGTATAGATTTATGTTAGCACAGGCATTTTCCTATCTATGAAGATTCAACCTTTGAGTATCATATGTCAGTAAAAGTGTTGATGACCGGCACAATTAACTTCTAAAATATTTAAAGGACAATTCAGCTGTGATATTAGAAATGTTAAGTGCTGGAGGATTGTAGTCTAAGGATCTCTTCAATAACTTAATATTTTTAAATATCCTGATTTTTAATATGATACAATCTTGCACATTAGTTACTGCCAAGGATTATTTGTTAATCAGTAAACATAGTCCTTGTTATAGAATATGCTGAAAGGGTGAATGACGTAGAAGCCATGGCTGAATGTTTCAGCAAATCCCTATACCATGCTTTTGGAGATGCTTTTAGACGCTTTCTGGCAACTATGCAAGAAGAGATAACAGTGATCCCACCAGTAACACTGACAGAGAATCGGAGAATGTTTGGTGTTGTCAGAATGAACAATACATTAAGTCCAGGTATTTAAAGGACTGCTGTTTGCAACAGAAATAGCGTTCTGCATGCAGAACTTCAAACAGGGGGCTTGCTCCTGCTAGTTGTAGATATCCAAATTTGTTTTGGGCAAACTCCTGCTGGTTTAATGGGATGGAGGGAGAAAATGGGTTGCATCTCAGTAAGTCCCTAGCTGAACACGCAGCTAGCAGTGAGGCCCAGCAATGCTTCTGGCTGAGGTATTTACTCTGTGTCATGGCCCAGACTTCCAGAAGTCTTTTCTTCCCTCAGTTTACATCTAAAACAGAATTTACAAACAGCTATCTTTATTTGCATTTAAAGACCTGATTTATCTCTTTTTGATGTCAATGGGAATTTTCCCATGGACTTTTAAAGTAAGTTAACTGAAGTTCAAAAATAAACATTTTTTAATGTTATTTTTTGTTTAGTAGAATAAACAAAAGCCTCAGCTGAAGTCAGTGGAAACAAAGTTAAGTCAATGCTGAATGCAGTTCTGAAACTTGATGTTCAATATTAGAACATCCAATATTAAAGACTTTTCTCCCTTCTCCCCAAACATTTGGATTTACGTAATGCAACACTGCGAGAAAAATACTTCAATGCAATCATGTGCCTCTTGTATCAGGCTCAAGAAGAGAACGTTGTGGATATCGGATCCTGCGTAGCCGTCGTAATTCAGAAGATCAGGTGCATTGCATTGGCAAAGCTAAGAAATACAATGAGACGGCAACTCGTGTAAAAGAGATCCTGCTCAGCACAGTCAGTCCGGAGCAGTTTGTTTTAACGCTGCTTGAAGCGGAGCCTCCCAATGTATTGGTGAGTCGTCCCAGCAAACCATTCACGGAGGCCTCTATGATGATGTCGCTGACAAAGCTGGCAGACAAAGAGCTGGTTCACATGATTGGTTGGGCCAAAAAAATTCCTGGTAAGAATTTCAATCTTGTTTTTGTTTATTTTAGTCAATGCTTTTACCATCCATGTATCATTCACTACCCTGAAATAATAGCACAGCACTATAAATGTGTGGTATGAAAGTCTTAAGCTTTTTAGCCTATAAGTAATAGACAATTTATTGCTCTTAGTAATTCACCTGGATGTATTTTGATTTAGACAACAACCTAGCCCATACTTTGCTATCTGTTGTTAGTCAAATATTTGTTCATTTTGCTAAAAAGCATAGTTGGTGTTGCATGTGATTTCTACCTCATCAACTATAAATACTCCATTAATCTGATTTAGAAGGTTCATTAAAAGAAGTATTAACTAGATTGCTATAAAAAAGAATTTAAGACCAAATCCTTTCCTTGAATACTGATCAAAGGTTTCTAATACAGTTGATGAAAACTGAAGTGTGTCCAAGCACTGAGTGTCTGCAATAGCTTCATTTGCTACACAAGAGCATCAGATTGCAAAAAGTGGTGCATAGTATCAATCTCAGAATTATCGTGTGGTCTCCTTCAAAACAAAAATCAGTAAGGATGCTTTGGGTTGTTCTCAACACAAAGAACACGCTCTGAGGTACAACTACATGTGTTATTGCCTGGAACGTCTCAAATGCAAACATAATGTCATGGCAATCTACCGTTTCACTTCTTATAAACCAGAAGTGGTGAGCCTTTGCAATTTCTTCTCCATGAAGCGCCCACAATAAAAGCAGTCAGAATAAACAATAAAAGCCAGAATAAAAGCAGCCAGTACACAGAGATGATAGTTGGCAAAGTTGTGTCGAAAAACTTGCCGGCTGGCATAGACTAAACTGCAGAATATGGCCTTTCAGTGAGAGCTAAGGTGACCAACTAATAATAGTGAGCTGAAAGAAGCATTGAATAATTGATAGATGTGTAGCAGCATGGGGCCTAATCCTTAACTTCAGCTACAGTGCTCTGCTAGAATTGATCCCTACGGCTGTGTTTACCTTGCATGGCTAATATATTCTGCAGTGTGTCTGGTAGCCCTAACCCCACGTCCGTCAGGACTGAGGAGCCAGCACACCATGGCTCTTCTCTTGGATTTTATGCTGAAGGCAACGAGAGCGTGCTGGTGCGTGGCCTGGTCTTGTCATGCTTGTACGCTATAAACACCATTTGCTGCTGCTAGAATACGCACAGAGGAAGCCATGGCAGTCATCCTTACGTCTAGAAATAAACTGTGTGTATACACAGTACAGGAAACAAGCTTGGTGGAGAGTATTTCGTATAATCCTTAAACCAAGACTTTAGAATAAGGGAAGCACATCCTATTTCAGGTCTAGGTGGAGTGACTGAAGGTGCTACCAGCTCCAGCTGCTGGCCCACATCTCCTTGTTGCAGATTAAAGTCTCCACAGCTCAGCCACTGGGTTGGAGGGTCCAGGTGCGATGGTTTAAGGTGTGCAAATTCCAGGTCAGCTGCTGAGCTGCTGGGGAGGAGGTGCTTGCACAGCATGAGCATCTTAAACCATGGTAGTCATTTGCAAAGTAATAGTGTTTTTGTCGTTGATGTGGAATGTTTTAAACTGAGAGCCCAAATCCTTAATCCTTATTTTTCCTGATTTAAGAAACTCTGAAAATAACTGTGAAATAAATAACCATAAGGGGTTAAGTGGTGTCTATTGCTATAGTTTCTTGTCTAATCAGAAAAACTTGATTAAAAGGTAGCATTTCAGAGGACTCCATATAGTTATGTTAATCTGGTAGGAAGTGAATTGTGAAGGAAAATCAGGGAAAGTCTTAGAAAAAAACTCATTTTAAGCAATAGTTGAATGGGAAAAAAACCCAAAACAACCTTTTCCATTTTCTGATTGTTCATAATTTCTACTTTTTTAAACTGTGTCAGCTTTAAAAATAAAACAACAAACATAGAAACTCAAAGCCTCAGCCAGCTGAGATTAATTTTTTTAACTTTTTAAAATATTAGTTTCCAAAGCAACCCCAATTTCAACATTGATCACTTTTAGTTTATTTTTAACCTATGTCAGAAATAAAAACTTTTTCTTGGCAATAAGAGAACTGTATGAAGAAAACCCATTGAAGCAATCAAACCCCTTCAAAATAGTTCCTGGGAATGTGAACATTTTATCGTGTATGTTTGTTTTTTCTGATCGCTCCTGTTAGAACAAAAATAAACACGATTTTAGAACAATGCCAAAAATAGATGCAAAGTTTAATATGTACCTAATTATAAGTAATATTGCCATATTACATGGCAGTTAGAGCATTTACTTCAATGTGTAATTATTATTATTTTTTTTCCATTAAAATAACTGTGATGACTAAAGGTCAGGACATAGCATGTCAGTTTACAAAAATTCTTGCCTGAAGTTAATCATCTAGATCCATGCCTAGTTCCTGGAGGTAAGGTCTTAGAAAAAAAAAATACAGAGCTCTTGACTAATGGCCCAGTGAGCAGTAATTTTACTTTCTGTAAAGCTGGATATTTGCTTTTGTGTACCTGAATTAGAAGCTCATTTTCACCTCTAAGTTACTCACCATCCCTGGAGGTGTTCAAAAAACATTTAGATGTGGCGCTTCAAGACATGGTTTAGTGGGCATGGTGGCGTTGGGTATACGGTTGGACTTGATGATCTTTGAGGTCTCTTCCCACCGTAATGATTCTATGATTATTTTGACACTCACTGAAAGGGAAAGAAAATATTTTTATTTTTCCTTATAGATGCTTATGTTAACAGTAACTTTTTGCCTAAATAGGAAAGATAAATGTGGGGTTTTTCTATATTTAATATTTAATGACATTCTTTTATTATGAGTTTTACTCTGTGGCTGTATTTTGTCTTTACTTTCAGCTTAATGGATTGTATTTTTGCTGTTGCTCAGTAAAACAGAAGCTGACACCTGGCTTTTTTTCCTTCTGAATTTCAATTATTTTAATTCTAAGTTGTCAAACAGCAGGACATAACTTCTATAACTGCCTTTTCCTTTGTTGACCCAGTCTAAGAGAGTTCAATGTGGTTCATAGTTGACCCTGCATTGCTAATCAATAGGATGTTGTCATAATACTGACATTTGGATTCATTATGCAACCTGGTGTGTTGCTGGCCAGAGCAGTGTGTCTTCTGCTAGTTACTACACATCCAGCACGAGTTTTTTCTTGTCTGTCTTAGTAATTTATAATTAAATGATCAGGCATAGAGCACACAATTTAAAGGACATATAGAAAAATAAGGAGTTCGATGTACTCTGCAGCAAATGAAATGGGACTTCTGACACTGCAGTGGAAGCTGTGGTGGTTATGTGCTGTCCTCGATCTTTAAAGCATAAGATTATTAGGAAAAGGAAAGGTATAGTTCTTCTAATAGCTGTGCTCAGTGGTCATAAATCATTCTGTGAGTTTAGCAGGTGATATCCAGGATAAATCTGGATCTTTAAGTATCCGTAGACTGAACGCTGGGGCTTGGTCTGACATCTCGCTCAACTGAGATGATAGTTTTAAACCCAATAGCTGGTCGTTTATGCTAGAGAAATCAGCACACGCTTGCGTAAATGTTTATTTAAATAAACTTCTGAAATGTCTTTGGGCTGTTGTTTCCCAGGAAACTGCCACTGTCAGTTTATACTATTCACACTTCCATGATTATTTTTCTAAAAGCACTTTTAAAATTATAAGTGTGTGTCTGGCAAATAATCTGTTGTTGATTGTGGATTCTGTAGTAAATTCTGTGACAGCGAAATCCAGGAGGGAAGGTACCACTCATAGGCTCCTGTTTACTCTTCTTATAAAATAAGGAGCACGGCTATCGATTTTGAAAGGCAGCTCTTTTAGCAATGATAAGAGAGAGTGCGCATTACCCAGTTTATGTCAACCCGGGGCTGTCACCGCTGTCTTCCAGCCTAGTAGTTTAATAAGATTAAAATACACCGAGCATTTGTATACATTACTGACAGCAGATTATTTGACAGCGCAAACGTACTGTGTGTATTTTAAGACTTCAGACAACTGGCAAGAACTGTGGGAAACCTGTCTCCCATGGCCAGGCTGTAATGATTTTTCACTATGCAGTCGTAGATGCCAGCTCATCTGAAAATGAAGCATCTTTGCTTAGAGACTTACCTCAAGCAGCTCTGCCTTGAAAACTGTGGCCTGATCTTGGCTTTGACCACTGAATTAGTCTTCATTGTATCTATATTTTAGTCCTTGACTGAGAAGTCTGCTTTCCCACTTGTGTTTTGATAATTTACACTTCTGGTCTTCTGGTTTGGGGTGCGTAAATTTTATTTCTCTTTGGCTTCTATACGTTCTTTTTCCCCAGTCTTTTTTGCAGGGGAAGGGAAAGGGAGGGCAACAATTGTCTCTCCCTTCTGGCTGTGCTGCAGCGCTATCTGACACCTTGCCGTAAGTTCTGGAGAGAACTAAACGCTGGAACAGGTTTATGCACAATTGCATTAATTCTGTTCTTGCTTCTGAGATGCTGTGTAGGGAGGTAATGGTGACAGTACTACCTTCACCAACTACCCTTGTCTATTTTTTTTTTTTCTGGTTTATTGCAATTTTAGGGAAGGAGGCAGCAGGAAAGGGATGGGATGGGGTCAACACCTGTCATTTACAAAGGGGATGATAACACAGAGGCACCAAGATGTGGGTTCTTTCACAGTAACCCGACAAACCCAGAAACATGCCTGTCCCATGAGATAAAAAAAACCCTGCAAGCGACAACCACATGTGCTCTGGGGAAAGAACAGACTATTTTCTTAGGAGTCCTCTGCAGTGCAATGCAGTAATCCCTGACAAATGTGCATTTCCCAAGTGATTCCCCGGTGCCTCTCGGGAGGCCGTGGGACCGTCATCTAAAGAGGTGGCCAAGCATAAAGCAGGTCTTCTGCAGTTTCACCAGTTGTGTGGGAGTAATTGCACTCGAACATCACCCGGCTTCATTTCCAATGTTTTGTGGATGATTTGACAATGATAATAATAAATATTTATGTTCCTATTTGAGATGGCAGCATGGCACTTCTGATGTCAGTGCTCCCTTTTCTGCTTTCTTCACAGCCCATAATTCTTTCGGTTTCTTTTTGTTTCTCATATGCTGAATCTTCTTTATCAAAACAGAGAAATAAACAGGTTGATTTATTTTATGCTGTTTTCATCATTTTAGGCTTCATTGATCTCAGCCTCTATGACCAAGTAAGACTCTTGGAGAGCTGCTGGATGGAAGTTTTAATGGTTGGTTTGATGTGGAGATCAATTGATCATCCTGGGAAACTGATTTTTGCACCAGACCTTGTATTAGACAGGTAAGAGAAAGAAATTTCTTGAGAACACTTCATATGAGCATGTTTGGAGGTGGGGTGAATGGTAAGAGGAAGAGGATTAAGTATGGGAGATGCTATTAATATTTTATCTAACAATATAATTTACTTGTATTTGTAACGATAATGTCTTGATGTTCCACATCCTTACAGGGGCTTAAGGAACGCTAAGCTTAAATAGTATTGTTGAACTTGCAAATTCCTGAATGCCTGTAGCACATGACAGTGTGAAGTTTCTCTGTATTTTTCACATCTTTTGTTGGTTTTGTTCCTTTTGGTCCCGGTCTCTAGATGCCAAAACTGTAGACACATCAACAAAATGCACTACATTGTCAACTTCTCCCGGCATCCCTCAAAAAAAATTAGGCCATATTTTAAGTAGCTTTTCTATCTGTTTTTCTTCCTGCAACTACTGCAGACTTCAGAGAGAGCTATAATAATGAACATTGCCATGCTAGCCAAAAGGGATTTAAAAAAACCCTAGCTTGCTGTTTAATACTGAGAATATTTTTCAAGCTAAAGGAGGATGTTGGCAAGTTTAAAAATTATTTGTCCATAACATCATGTACCAGCAGGGAAGAATATGGATTAGTAAGGATGTTTTTCTACAGGGTCTTAGAAGGATTTGACCTGGGCTTCACACGGGTAAAAAGTGAGGGAAACAATCTACTCTCTCGGGTGGGCTTAAAATGTCTCTTAGCCTTTTCAACCTGGGGAAATGCAGATCTGTACCAGTTCTGTGGCTTGAGCTCAATAATAATCACCATCGTGGATACAGAAAGCAAACTGGGTTAGTAAGAGAAATAAATTTAATTTATAAAAGATATGAAATAAATTATTATTTGCTCATATAAAATTCAATGCAAGGACATGCTGTGTTGTTCGATGCAATGATGAGAAATTGCTGAAAATGTATGATACATCTAGTTTCTCAGGAGCTAATCCATGCTGAGCCTATTTGCTGCATACCTTCATCTCCACAAGACACAGCAGAGTGGGAGCTAGCAAGCATCTGGGCATGCTGTAATTTTATATTTTTCAGACATGCATATATGAAACTGGTCTGTAACTTGATTGTTTTTATCTTAACTGAACTGCAGATAGATTTCCTACATAATCTTTGTAGACAAGTACTTCTCTGATGCTTGCGTCTTTGTTTTGAAACTGGCAGCTGCCTGTCCTTCTCCAAAGCTTAAAATTCTCCTTTGCTATGAGGAACACGGGAAACTGGGCAATATTCAGGCAGCTGCCTTTCTACAGGCAGTCCTTGCTGCACCTGGTTAGTGTCACCTGTGGGTGCCTGCCTTGCAGCCTGGAGGCTCAGCACCTTCCTCTTGGGATCCAGGAAAGTTCTTGAATTCTCCTGCACTGCTGTGCTTAAGTCTGTCTCATCTTAAAAACATTACAGAGAAAGAAAAATCTCGGATTAGAGATAGCATAAGAAGCATCCCTTTGAATACTGTGTCATAGAGCTTGATTGCTTTTTCAGTCCAGTACATGTAAAAAAATCTAACCAAAAAACTAGAACAGTAACTTCAGTGGTTTGAAATTTGCTGCTGCTTAATTTTAAATCCATTGGAATGGCTTAGGGTTGTTAGGTTGGTTTTTTTTTTTCAGAGCAGAAAATAGGACCATTTCTAATATTCAAAATGGAGAAAATTGCATTCAGTAAACACTTGCAAACATAAAAATAACCAAACCACAAAATCACCAAAAAACCATCTATTTCCATTTAAACACCTTCAAAGAAAAAGGTGCTGGGGGATGGGGAGAAAGGTTGTTTTATTCTTTAAAAATGTCTTATTGTTCCAAGAAACTTATTTTAGGGGGTCTGTCTTATTCACCAAGTCCTGAGGCATCCATCAGGTACAAATAGTGATGTCACTGGTTATGGTGCTAACTCCTTGTGAAACAAATCTGGAAAATGATTCAAGGCGGTACCGTGCCCTGCGCTACCAAGTTTCAAACTGATTATGCAGAATTATACTGGCTGTGAGGATAAAGCCTCTTACAGAAATATGGTCATCCTTACCTGTGGTCAATCCTGCATGTCCTTTAAAGAGAAAATCAGTTTCTTAGAGGTGCTGACCTTTTATAGCAGTGTAATTTTCAATTTAGATTTCATGATAGAACCTTTTGAATGCTGCCAAAGATGAGATGGACAGGCCTTGTGCAGCCTCCCTTGTGCTTTGACTTTTATCTAACTGAGTCAGAGTTTCTTAATTCTACTTTTTCAGTAACATTTTGAATGTGTTTCCATAGGGATGAAGGGAAATGCGTAGAGGGAATTTTGGAGATCTTTGATATGCTCCTGGCCATGACCTCGAGGTTCCGAGAGCTGAAACTGCAGCACAAGGAGTATCTGTGTGTCAAGGCAATGATCCTCCTCAATTCCAGTGAGTATGTGGTTGACTCTGACACTCACCAAATTGTACTTTTTATTTCGAGGGTGGCTGGGAAATCAGTCTCTAAAAATGGCAGAAATATCAAATGAGAGAAAGCCTTTGAAGGAGAACGATAGGAAAGGACTTCTAACCCTCAGATCGTAAGGATTTTTGCTCAAGAAACTTCTAAGCTGTATCATAAGATGGATTTAGGGTCTATGTCCTCTTGTAAGAACTGCATGAAAGATAGAAAGTCTGAAAGCTGTTCACAAGGTGGGGATCATGGCCCAGGCTGTGGGTATGTTCTTTTCAATGAGAACTTTTGCTTGTATCTCTGTGGATCTTGGTCACGTGTAAAGTTGCTGTACAGCTCTACAAACCTGTCCTTAATTCTTAATTCTCGTAAAACTAGTTACTCAACTGAGTGATGGTTAATTGGGCTTAAATGGTCCTATTTAATGGTAATTAATTGGTAGAAATGATTGAAAGTACTCAATGGCTCTGCAAGATTAATTTCAGGATAGGAGCTTTGCTTTGCAGCCTTTTACACAAGGCAAACAGCAGTGTGTGTTTGCTAGATTAGGGTAGTCTGCATTAATATAATTTCATTCCTCAGAACATTTTGTAATTAATGTTGTCAAAAAAATCCAGCAACAAAATAACAGCTAACTACATCTACTGTTTTCAGCAAGGAGATGCTGCTGTGTAATTCTCAGCCCAGTTCTGAAGGGGAATATTCCACCTGCTCTCCCGCTTGTTTATAGATGCCATTATTTCAACCGACAACAAAAGCGGTTCTTTTTTTTTTTCCAAAAACCCACAACAACCAACCAACCAACCAAAAAAACCCAACAAAAAAAACAGGTTC